GTCTGAATAAAAAGAGGTAAGCTTGTGCCTAGTGTACTTTTTCCAAGCAAAGTTTCCTTCTGTAGTGTCTAAAAACTAGGAATGAATATTGAACAAGTTTGCAGTGGGCATATACCAGTGTTAGTAACATCAGTAACTTTGGCTTATTTCCCCCCTCATTTACTATTTCGTAGGTAAGTAAATATTTTAAATTGCCATTGGTCACTATGACAAGATGGCTCTGAGTTCCAGCTTATTCCTTTACAAACTTTGTTCTTTATCAAATTATTTAACCTTCCTAGACCTACTGTAATTAAAATCACAAATAGATAATATAAATGAAAGTTTTTTGAAAACGGTGGGTACAAATGATGGGTTTTCACTTTTATTATTGCCATTGTTTTTGTTGTTTCTGGCCATGTGGCATTTAAAAGTTATTTATTTAATGAATGCTGTTTTATGATTATAGCTGTCTTTATAAACACTTAAAATTACTCATTTCCATCTGTAGGGTAATTCAAAACACACAGCTTCTTGTTTGCTTGGTTATTACTTTTTTTCATAAGCTAAATTGCATGAAAGACTTACCCAAATGCAGGATGATAATAAAATTTTTTTTTAGTTACTTATTTAAAGGATAATTTTAAATGTTAACTCCACCTTTTAAAAAACACTTTCTGTTAATTTCTCTGTCCTTGCGATTTTCTTTGTATTTTAATCTAACCATGTATTTATATATTTTTTTAGAAGTTGTTTTTTTTTGAGGGGGGCGTTGCTTGAGTTTTTTTTTTTTTTTTTTTTTTTTTTGGTGGTTAGTACCAGGGTTTGAACTCAGGGAAGCTGTTCAGCTCACTGGTTCATCTTCTTTCCATATTCCCCCCAATCTATAATTAAATGCAGGCAGTGCACTGGGTCATCTTCGTGTATTCTCTTGATTTTTAACACAGGAAATGAATTAGAAAATTAATTTTCTTTTGATGTTACTATGTTATTTGACTCCTTTATTTAATTGTATCTTTAAGGGGTGAGAACATAGCTCAGTGGCAGAACACTTGCCTAGCATGTGCTAGAGCCTACGTTTAATCCACAGCACCGCAAAGAAATTTTAAAAATTTTAAAGTTGTAATTGTATCCTTACGTAATTATTATATTACAGTAGTTAACTGAAGTCCCATTTTTTTGAAGAGAAGAGTTTTGAGTATTTATCATTTGATTATATTTATTCCTCTCTGCATCTAAAGCTGTCACCTTAGGTCAAGCCCTTTTGTTACATTTGTCTTGGAACCTTTGTAAAATAGCTCTTCTCTCAATCCACCA